CTAGTTCTAGTTAATTGTTGCTAATATTCACCTTTGAATCTCCTTTTTCAAGGATATTCACCTGATACTACTTTAAGTAGCCACTCTTGTTCTCACATTCCGAACGACCTCTACTTTAACTACTCACATTATTCATTATCTACGCTGTTAATAACTAATTGTCAACTTTATGAAAATCTGTTTAATTTCATAATGCATGCATTATGAAGTTCTAAAAAATGTTGTTGCTTGTGTTATCCGATCGTTCATCGGACCGAATTGGATGGTTTCTATTGGCATATGGTTTCCTGAGTGGGTGCCTGGATATTGCCTTTTTTTCAATTTCATAGTAATGGCGATTAGCGGTTAGCAGTGGGGTCCAGAAGGCGCTTTTCGTCCCATTTAGGATTTGTCAGCTGGATATACCTTCTTCCCAGTGAGCGATATTGTTCCCACTAAAACTGAAACCTGGCATCATTTACTTCAAAAGCATTTGACGTAAAGTTCTATGCATTATCATTATCACATAAAGACCTCTCAACAATGAATAAGTCTTCCCAAAGTTTGTCTTCTAAGCATAGTTTTATCGTAGATTTAAATAGCACTCTAACCAAAGCCTTTTTGTAGCTTATAAACCGCAGACTTTTAAAGTTCAAATAAACTTTCCTTTCTATTATTATACCTCTGAATTTTTCCACTTATGTTAAATATGCAGACATCTAGGAAATGAAACTTTTATAACTCTTGTAATCAAAAGCATTTCGTTGAGAAAATTACTCAATGAAAAATATTACCAAGTTTACATGTATGTCATCATTATACTTGGCACAAAACAAAGATCAGTTTATATTATTCTGTTTAAGTTGTTATTCTCCATAAAAACTCATCTTGACATTATTTGAAATTTCGATAGGTTCATGTTTGTTAAGTTGATAGTTTTCAGTGTAAAGGCGTTTGATGTTGTTGTTGTTGTCGTCATATTTTATTTACTCGATAGTTGGTGCAAAAAGCTTGAAACTGATTAGTTTTATGTAAAAAGAACTTAGTGATGCACACAATTCAGGTATATTTAGCTTTACTACATTTTACTGGTGAATATATATAATACTCGTACTTTATTAATAATCGATTTTCGATTATTTTTTTTACCAGTTACACAGTTGATATGCTCACATACTTCAAATCCAAGTAGTTTTTCAATTATTTGTTGATAACGTTCTTATTAGAAATAATTTGACTGAAACGTAGGGTTTGATCTCTGATAAACTGCTTTTGACCAAGAGAAATAATTATAAACCAATCATAGTGGCCTAAATACAACAGATAACTTATTGGATTCAGTAGATCTGAACAAAGCTGAGCCCAGCAACCGAAATTGTTTGAGTTAACCACCAATAGACAAATGTGATCCCCTGAACGAGGAAAGCGGTCATATGGTATCCAGATAACTATGATCTGGTTAGTGAAATTCCTTTATCAGCATGAGTAGTTACAGGTGACTCGTTATATTTACCACAATGAAATAGTATTAATCAGTGAACTATGTTTCAGATAGACAAACTTGATATGGAACCTAGCAAAATGGTGCATTAAATCAAGTTGTCAGACTTTACAGCAGTACACAAAGAAGTGGATAGAAAAAGAATGATGTCAAAGTAGACAAAGTTTTTTTAAGACAATTAGCAGTTTGAAGATAATGGTCAGGGCAAATATTCAATCGTTAGGACGTCAAAGAGTCAGAACATCTGCGCCACTCTGGTTAGTTTTCAGCCATGTCACAAAACGTCCTACACCACTGGTTCCTTTCCTCTCAGGGACCCACATCAGACAGTCTACATCTCCCAACATATCTCAGACCGACAGTCAAAGACTTCATCAACTGGTGCCACACCTTGGTCTCACTGCCCTGAACCATCTTCCAATCTAACCCAACTTCACCTAGCATCGCACATCTAGGTAGTCAGTTGTTCGAAATGCGTAGCACATGTTCAAGCCATCTCAGTTGACTAAGCTTCGAAACCTCAACAATCGACTACCCTGTCTTGCCTAGTACCCTTCGCATGACCCTGACCCCAACATTTCTCACACACTGATTTCACCTTGCACAAACAATACTGCGAAGACATCTGTGAGCGAAATCCTGTAACCGCTTCAAGTCTTGCACATTCAACGACCATATCTGACAGCTGTAAAATGAGATAGAAGTAAATGCAGCGTAGTAAGCTCACCCTTTAATAGATAGTTAGATATCTCAGTAGTCGGCGTTACACACGATGTCAATTGGCAAATGACAAACGGGTGTTCTGTATCCAAGCAGAGATTTCGTCAGCGACCGGCCCGTTAGAGCTGATGCAATTTCGCAAGTAAGTGATATCGTCAACGTATTCCACCTGGAACTCTTTGAAGGGGAACGTGGAAAGAAACCTGCATAACCGTATTCGGAAGGAAAGGGAAACAAGTCAAGAAATGGATCTCAACGGACACATGGAAACTGATAGAAGAGAGGAAGATGGTGAAGCAGAAGATGAACGGTGCAGGGATGTACAACGAAAAGAAGAACTGAGTACAACGTATAAGACACTGAACAAAGAAGTGCAGAAGAGTGCACAGAAAGACAAAAGACACTTCTACGACACATTGGCAAGTGAAGCAGAACAGGCTGCTGGCAGGAGAGACAGAGACCTGACAACATTATATCAAATAAACAGGTTACTATCTGGAAGGGAAGAGATCAACGCAGACGAAACTAATGAAAGATAGTGAAGAAAGCCAGTTACCAAAGAAGAGAAACAAAGGAAACAATGGGCTGATCACTTCAGAAAACTCTTCAATTGACCACCACTTGTAACTCGTCCAGAAATACCACCAGGAACGGCAGAACTACCAGTAAACACAAGCCTTTCGATAAAAGCAGAAGTTCTAAATGCCATAGAGTTGCTGAAATCCAGGAAACCAGCAGGACCAGATGGAATTCCTCCAGAAGAACTGAGAACAGATGCAGAGACAGCAGCAGCGGACATCACAAAAGAAAGTTTGCAAAGAAGAAAGGAAAGGTACCTGCTCATTGATTGGAAGAAGAGCTACCTTGTCAAACTTCAAAAGAAGGGCGACCTGGGTCTTTGCAAGAAAACTGGCGCACAATCATGCTCCATTCCTGTCCACCCCAAGCAAAATATTAAGCCACATCATCCTATAGAGATTAAAAAGTGCTCTGCATTCTAAATTACGACTGGAACAGACTGACTGGCTTCAGAAAAAACAAATCATGTGTGGATCAGATAGCAACGCTACGCATCATCATCGAACAGAGTACATAATGGCAGTCAACTCAACTCTACCTCAGATTTATCGCCTTTGAAAAGGCCTTCGACAGCGTCGACCTACGAGTAATTTGGTGGTTGCTTCAACACTACGGAGTGCCACTAGTCTTTATCAACCTAATTCAACAGCTATATGAAAAAACCGTGTGCCAAGTGATCCACAATGGAAAGCTCAGTGGTGCTTTTGAAGTGAAGACAGGGGTAAGACAAGGCTGCCATTTACTATCACCCATGACCTTCCTGATTGTGGTCGACTGAACTGGACTGGATCATGCAGCAAACCGTGAGGAGCGAGAAGATGGGCATACACTGGACCGATGAGAAGACCCTAGGAGATTTGATTTCGCCAATGATGACTTGTATCTAATGTCACACAAACTCGAAGATCTACAGGCAAAAACTAACAGGTTGGCAGAAGAGGCAGCGACGCGAAGACGGCACTTCCTTCAGGTGAACGTAGAGAAGACGGAGGTGATGAAGATACCCAACCAACAACAAGCACCAATCACCATGATCGGGAGAAACCTAAAAAAAGTAGCCTCTTTCACCTACCTAGGCAGCATCGTTTCAACTACAGGCGGCGGCACAGCCGAGGGTGTCAAAACCAACATCGGAAAGAGAGCAAGACAGGGTTTCATTAATCTGAAATCAGTGTGGAGATCTACCGCACTCAGCACAAAGAATAGGATCCGGATTTTCAACACTGATTCAGTCAAGTCAGTGCTACTATATGGTTCAGAAACTTGGCGCGTCACGAAAAGCATTTCCAACAAACTACAGACATCAACAACTGCCTCTGCTGGCTCGATACTGAAGGTCATATGGATGGCCAGAAAGAATAAGCAACAAAGAACTCTGGGAACGAACCAACCAAGAACTTATCGCCCAACAAATATGCAGAAAGAAGTGGAGATGGATTGGCCATACATTGAGAAGGCCGACTGGGGACATCACGCGCCAGGCCCTCGAGTGGAAGGCAGAAGGGGAACGACAAGTTGGTCGTCCGAGATGAGGTTGATATGGAGGAGATGGTGTGAGGAAGAAATGAAAGCTTGTTGGCTGGCATTGGTGGGGTGATGTAGCTGAAAAATAGCCACAGTGGCGCAGATGTATTCACTCTTTGACGTCTTTTTAAGCTTGAATATTCGCACTAGCCTATATCTTCAAATAATTTATTCTCTTACGCAACTTCTTCTACTTTGATATCATTTCTTTTGTATGCATTTGTTTTCTGTCCAACACTGTGCAGTATGGCAACTTGAGTCGATGCACCTGTGTGGGAGATTCTACGTTGATTTTGTCTGAACTAAGTACTCACTGGCATTTTGCTAACAAATTCTCCGTCTCACTAAAGAAGACATCTACTATAGGTGCGCTGTACTACTGCATGAGTAGACCTTCAGATACCGAATGTATAGCCGAAGAATCTTCCAACCGATTACTGTCCTTTGTGAAATAGACAAATTCGCTTAGGTACACAAAAGTGAACTTTAAAGTTCAAATTACAATTTAGTGGATTATTGCTTGTCATTAGACCTTTGTTGGATGTTAAACATTAACTATGGTGTTCTCAATAACTAACTGGTAAACTTACGATTTTACTTAAAGTTTTCCTTATTAATTCAGTATTTATTAGTCTAAACGTTTTAGTCCAGTATTTGTCTGCTACAGTGTTTTTTGTACATCATTCCTATTCTATAGTTCTCTCTGCCTTATCGTTCCGACGAAGTTCGAAAGATCAGTAATATTCTTTTTGCACCATTGTATATACTTGGTAAAATGAAAGAAGAAATACCATTGGAGATTGAAATGTCGTCTACTTTCCAATTGGATATGGTTAGTTTTGTTATTTAACCTATGATGCCTTTTTTCGTAAAATTAATGCTAATTATTCTGAGTTTACGAGCTTTAAAATGTTCATTTGTGATACAGTCGCTAGACAGCACAGATTTCTCTGTGCAGTAACGACTAGTAAACGATGAATGATAGGTAAGTTCTTATTCAGCTGCCTCCAGCCACAGCTAACAGAAAACAACCACTGTACTGAATAATTTCGAATAGGATAGAATCGAAACCCACTCAGTAAGGTTGTATACATTAATGCAATAGATGATGAGCCACACCTACTGTGTAAGGGCTAATGATGCTACCTGGCTACCCAAATTTTGGTAGGTGAAGCGGTGTTCAGACCCGCGACTCACAAAAAACTACAAAGTAATCTGATATTATAGTTTGTATTTGTGTGAATCACAGCGTGTTTGAAATCGAATTTTATATATATATATATATATACAATATTCAGTGATGCTTTTGAAGACAGGAGTGAAACAAGATTGCCTACTATCCCCCATGATATTCCTGATTGTGGTGGACTGGATCATGCAGCAAACAGTAGGCAGCGAGAAGAGGGGGATATGCTGGACCGCGGAAAAGAACCTAGAAGACTCGGATTTCGCCAATGATGACTTGTGTCTGATGTCATACGAACTTGAAGGTCTACAAGCAAAAACTAACAAGTTGACAGAAGAAGCAGGGTAGCGAAGACGGGACTCCAAGTGAATATAGAGAAGACAGAGGTGATGACGATACCCAACCAACAACAAACTGCAATCATCATCAACGGGAGAAACTTAAAGGAAGTAACCTCCTTCACTTATCTAGACAGCACTGTTTAAGCTACAGGTGGCGGCACAGACGAGGATGTCAAAGTCAGGATCGGAAAAGCAAGACAGGCGTTCACTAACCTGAAACCAGTGTGGAGATCTGCACTCAGCATGTGAAACAACATCCGGATTTTCAGCACCAATTCATTCAAGTCAGTGCTCCTGTAAGGTTCATTGACTTGATGTGTTACGAAAGGGATTTGCAAAAAAATACAGACATTCATCAACAACTGCCTACGCTGGCTCATTACTGAAGATCAGATGGCCAGAAAGAATAAGCAACAAAGAACTCTGGGAACGAACCAACCAAGAACCTATCGCTCAACAAATATGCATTGGAAGAAAGTGGAGATGGATTGGATTGGGCCATACACTAAGAAGGCCGACTGGGGACATCACGCGAGTGGAACCCAGATGGGAAACGGCGAGTTGGGCGTCCCAGCTGAGGGTGACATGGAGGAGATCGTGCGAGGAGGAAATGAGAGCTTGTGGACTGTTGTGGAGCCAGGTTCAAAAGATTTCAGAGGACAGAGCGCATTGGAGACGTGCTACTGACGCCCTATGTCCCATTAGGGACCCAAGGGACAAATAATAACTATATATATATATATATATATATATATATATATATATATATATATATATATATATATATATATATATCGTCCCTTGGGTTCCTAGTGGAACATAGGGCTTCAGTAGCACGCCTCCAGTGACCTCTGTTCTCTGAGATCTTTTGAACCTGGTTCCACGACAGCCCACAAGCTCTCATTTCCTCCTCGCACGACCTCCTCCATGTCACCCTCGGACGTCCAACTCGTCGCTTCCCATGGGGATTCCACTCGAGGGCCTGACGCGTGATGTCCTCAGTCGGCCTTCTCAGTGCATGGCCAATCCATCTCCACTTCTTCCTGCATATTTGTTGCGTGATAGGTTCTTGGTTGGTTCGTTCCCAGAGTTCCTTGTTGCTTATTTTTTCTGGCCATCTGATCTTCAGCAGCGAGCGTAAGCAGTTGTTGATGAATGTCTGTAGTTTATTGGAAATGCCTTTCGTGACGCGCCAAGTCTCTGAGCCATACAAGAGCACTGACTTGACGTTGGTGTTGAAAATCCGTATCTTGTTCCGCATGCTGAGTGCAGAAGATCTCCACACTGGTTTCAGGCTAATGAACGCCTGTCTTGCTTTTCCGATTCTGACTTTGACGTCCTCGTCCGTCCCGCCTGTAGTTGAAACAGTGCTTCCTAGATAAGTGAAGGAGGTTACTTCCTTCAAGTTTCTCCCGTTGACGGTGATTGGAGTTTGTTGTTGTTGTTGATGGTGGTGGTGCGGTATCTTCATCACTTCTGTCTTCTCTATATTCACCTGAAGTCCCGTCTTAGCTGCCTCTTCTATCAACTTGTTAGTTTTTGCCTGCAGATCTTCAAGTTTATGTGACATTAGGCATAAGTCATCGGCGAAATCCAAGTCTTCTAGGTTCTTTTCCGTCGTCCAGTGTATCCCCCTCTTCTCGCTGCCTACTGTTTGCTGCATGATCCAGTCCACCACAATAAGGAATATCATGGGGGATAGTAGGCAACCTTGTTTCACTCCTGTCTTCACTTCAAAGGCATCACTGAGCTTCCCATTGTGGATTACTTGGCATGTGGCATCTTCATATAGTTGTTGAATGAGGCGGATAAAGGTTTGCGGTACTCCGTAGTATTGAAGCAGTTTCCAAATTACTTCTCGGTCGACGCTGTCAAAGGCCTTCTCAAAGTCGATGAAGTTGAGGTATAGAGCTGATTGCCATTCTACGCTCTGTTCTATGATGATACGAAGCGTTGCAATTTGGTCAGCACATGATTTGTACTTCCTGAAGCCTGCCTGTTCCGGTCGCAGTTTTGAATCCAGTGCGTCTTTAAGCCTCTCCAGGATGATGCGGCTTAATATTTTACTTGGGGTGGACAGGAGAGTGATTCCGCGCCAGTTCTTGCAAGCACTGAGGTCTCCCTTCTTCGGCAGTTTGACAAGGTAACCCTTCTTCCAATCGTCAGGTACCTTCTCTTCCTTCCACACCTTCTGCAATAGTGGTGTGAGCATGTCCGCTGTTGTCTCTGCATCTGTTCTCAGTGCTTCTGGCGGTATTCCATCTGGTCCTGCTGCTTTCCCGCATTTCAGTAGCTTTATGGCGTTCAGGACTTCCATTTTCGTTGGGGGATTTATGTTCACTTGTAATTCAGCGGCTGCAGGTGGTATTTCTGGACGAAGTGCAGGTGGTGGTCGATTCAAGAGCTTCTTGAAGTGGTCGGCCCATCGTTTCCTCTGTTTCTCTTCTTTTGTAATTAAATTTCCTTCTTCATCTTTTATTGGTTTCATCTGTGTTGGTCTCTTCCCTGATAGCAACCTGGTTATTTGATACAATGTCGTCAGGTCTCTCTTACCTGCAGCCTGTTCTGCTTCACTTGCCAGTGTTTCGTAGAAGTGTCTTTTGTCTTTGCGTGCACTCTTCTTCACTTCTTTGTCCAGTGTTTTATACATTGTGCTCAGTTCCTCTTGTCGTTGAGCATCCTTGCACTGGTTTATCTTCTGCTTCACCATCCTCCTCTCCTCTATCAGCTTCCAGGTATCCGTCGAGATCCATTCCTTGTCTTCTTTCTTCTTCCTTCCTAATACTGTTGTGCAGGTTTCTTTCCACATAGCTTTCAAAGACTTCCAGTGTTCTTCCACACAGGTTTCTTCAGGGATGTTGCTCGATGTCTCCCATTTTGTCTTGATGGCTGCCTTGAAGATCTCCTTTGTAGTTTCATCCTTCAGTTTCCGAGTGTTGTACTTGAATTGAGGTCTATCACCAGCTTCCTTGAAGGCTTTTAACTTGATTTGGAAGGTTCCTTGCACTAGATAGTGGTCTGAACCTACATCTGCTCCTCTTCTTGACCTTGTGTTAAGTAGACTGCGTCTCCATTTTCTTGAGATTGAGATAAAGTCGATTTGATTTTTAGTGTGTCCATCTGGTGAAGTCCATGTCGCTTTGTGGATATCTTTGTGCCTGAACACACTGCCTCCAATCACCAAATCGTTGAATGCACAGAATTCTGCAAACAATTCTCCATTCTCATTCATTTCACCTAGCGCCTCTCGACCCATGGTTAGTTCTCTTCCCGTGTTGTCCCCTCCCAGTTTGGCATTCATGTCGCCCATTAGAATTTTGATATCGCCAACTGACGTCTTGTCCAGTGTTGATTGAAGTTGTCTGTAGAATTCCTCCTTTTTCTCTTGCTCTGCATTATTTGTAGGTGCATAACATTGTATGATTGTGACCTTTCTTCCTTTTGAGTTGAATCTTGCTGTCATGATCCTGGAGGAGATTGGTTCCCACTGCATGAGAGCCTTCGATGCTCTTGAGGACATCATGATAGCCACTCCCTCAGTGTGCTCGTGGTTGGCGTCTGGGTGACCGGAGTAGATTATTGATTCTCCAGTTGACAGTTTGGAGAGTCCACTCCCATTCCATCTGCTTTCGCAAATCCCAAGCACTTCGATGTTATACCTTCTCATCTCCTTTGCAATCTGGGCTGCCTTACTGGGTTCAAACATCGTGCGGACATTCCATGTCCCCACGTTTACTTTCGCTTTCATCGAGAGAAGACACATCGGCCAATTGGCTTCCCGAAGGCTTTCACCAACTGGCGTCATTTCGCCTCTCCGATTCCAGCGGGGAATAAGTTTGTTTTCATTTTTTATATTTTGTTTGTGCTTTGAAGTTTCTTTAGCGGTTAGATTTGTTTTACGGGGTAGGGTTGCTAGCCCTATGCCCAACCTTCCCTCTTTACCCGGGCTTAGGACCGGCTAGTAACTAGTAAACTAGTTAACCAGGCGAGGTTATATATATATATATATATATATATATATATATATATATATATATATATATATATATATATATATATATATATATATATATATATATATATATATATATGGCATACGATGAATGCAAATAATTTTAAATAATTAACTCTTCAGGTTCAGCCAGTCTTGGAGGGTCGCGTCATTTTGGAATCCAAACGCTATTTATGGTCATCCTTGGCTCTTAAAATACAAACTGCATTAAGCGGTCTATCTAACATTCTCTACTACTATCCACAAATTTCCTTCCTAGTCACAGTTTCTGCAGTGATACTACTTATGAACATGATTTATGTGACACTTGTGATTATATGTCTTTTCTGGGGATTTTTTAATAAAATGGACATTATTGAGGTCCCGGAACCAGAAGACGATCGGAATAAGGAGGACCAACTACATGGAGAAATTAGACCAGAGGACATTTCTTTATGAAAACTTGCCATAGTTGTGAGAGCCTATATACTTACCCAAGTGAAAATAATTCGTCTTTCATACATAATTTTTACTCTAATTGAAGAAAGTGTTCCATTTAACATAACTCATAGTTTATTATTGTATTTTCAAGCTGGTATTTTGCTATGAAGATGTTTTGCTGCTTGAATTATTTTACTCGGAATATACTTCTTTTAGTCAATAATAAATATCTTATTTGTTTGTATAAGGAACCTTTTAAGTGACCTGAAGTACACTGTAACCCTTGTATTACTCAAGCGTCTCCGATTAAATTCTATTGACTGTCATTTGATTTACACGGCAACTGGTTTCCTAGTGCTACAAAATAGAAACTAGTTCGTTAAAGTGGTGTGGTTGGTGTCCAGTTGACCGCATTTCTGGTCCGTCTTTTAGTCGTTTACGCTTGAGAATTATTTTATTCGCACTTAGGAAGTATTGTAAATACAGCTCTTATGGCCTGCAGAAAGATATTAAAGGCTAAAAAGTTATATATAAAATGTACGCAGGTTTGATGATACCTATAGCAGTGAAAAGAACATTTCCAGTAGTTAGCAACGTAAAATGAGACCACGTATGCATGTAGTACGGTTCGTAACTAAATATACAGGCAGGTATGGCATATATGCCGTCGGTAGACTCAACGGGTTTATCCGGGATTTTGAACAGGAGAAATGTTCTTAAAGTGGTCATGTCTTTCAAGTGACAGCCGAAGTCGATGTTTAGAGACTGTAAATGGTATGGCTCAGAATCGATTGCAGTGGTGCATCCACAGCTTGTCATTCTGCAAATTGCCGTATATCGCGTTGTTTGCTTTATTCCCTCTAACAACATTCTACGGCTTTACATTACAATATTTACTTTTCTATGACTTGCTGCTTTTGTATTTTAATGCAGGGGATCATAATTAGAGCCATTAATTAGTAATTCCATTTTCCCATATTGATACTGATTGACTAACCATAGGATTACATTTTTTTAGCCATCAGATCATCTAATGTAAACTTCAGGATAAGTGTCGTTATCGTCATCAGTGAAAACTAGTGATCTTCAGACGACAGTGAATTGGACACTGATCTAATCATGCCAAAGTTTGCACTTGTAGTTGTGTAGTTCAATTTCTCACATAGCTTACTTGAAAACAGTAATTAATGGACAAAGCTTCACTGGCGACTGATGTAACCAATATGCATAAGGCAGTGTCAGTTTGAGTCTACTAAAATAGCTTTCTGGAAGTGAATTACGAGTAAAATTACAAAATAAGTTGTCTTTCAGTTTATACGTAAAGCTCCCAATATGTCTCCAAAGGCCTATGACCCAAATGTTACAAGATTAGTTGAGAAGACTATGGTTGTCATCTATACAAGTAGAAAGTATCTCTGCGTGGATGATAGAGCACTAAAAGACGTCGATTTTTGCACATCATGACATCTGGTTTAAATTTAACAAGCCCGACCGATGGCTGCTACGTTTGCGTGGTTGTCAGATTTGCATATCACAGTGACCCAACAAGCTGTGCTGGTGGGACACATGTTCTCTCGAGGTCCTACTACGACAGTAAAGTCTGCTGGATGGTGGTAAGACGGAAAGCATTTACCGTTGTAGTGTGAATTATTACTACACTATAATGGCGGTATGAGGCCGAAGTCATGCTGCTGCCAGCTGGATGGGGCGTGACAGCAGTAAGGTGTTCCCCTTGGATGACCAGCAGGGACACGCTGATGCTGTCCACCCAGTGGGAATGAGGGCGATTAAACCAGTTCGACCCCCAAAATGGCACTCCTCCCTGCTCCACAGCCTTCCTGAAAGGGATTTCTCTTTAAGACGTTAGAACAACCAAACCTCAAAGGCCGTATGTGTGTGATTGGCCTCAAGCAGATGTCCCATGGGCTTTGTGGTCAAACAAATCCTTTTCTCGTTCAGATGCCTCAAAAAAACAGCCTTCCACGGTGTGGACAGTCGGAACGTGCCAACTGCCAGCATACTTCTAGTAGTACTTAAAACCAAATCGAGCATAGCCTATCCTCCTCAACTCTGTCTCCTCCTTTACCTTTGCATCTATACACTAATTAATATTAAGCTTCTTACACCTCCCCCAACCTATCATTCTGCGACCATTGCCAACAATCGAAGTCATGAAAACCTGATTCCTAGTTTCCTAAAACCACACCGTTAGTTTCATCTTGGAGCTTTCAACGTCCGAAATCCATGCCAAATCGGACAGCAAACATAGGTGGCCACAACTCTGGAATCTGGAGCCATGGATGCATGCTGTATCTCGGAGACACATATACACGATCCGAGTGTGACTGTTAAATTAACCTCACCTGCTCATAGTAGTGAATCTTCAGGATTCACCTCACGAGTATCCGGAGACCCATTGCTAACTCTGGTGTAGGAATAGCATTGAGTTGTAGGACAGAAAGTGCGCTTCTCGATCGGATAATAGTCAACAGCCATCTATGGTCTGTTCGACTGAATGGATCTCTAAGTGTAGGAAGAATCGTCAAAACAACCTATGTCCATTCGTAATCTCCGCTTACGCACCCACCGACAGTAGCTTAGATGATGCGAAGGCTGAATTCTATGAGAAGCTGTCAATTCTGCTACAGAAACCAAAGCGTTCAGATGCAGTCATAATGGCAGATGAGTTTTACGCTCAAGTAGGGAAGCTGAGTTGAGCCAATCGCAAAGGGATCCTGGGGATATTTACGGGATCACATGCCAACGGTGATTGTCTGTTGCAATTTTGTTCCGACAATCACTTGTTACTGGCCAGCGCCAAATTCAAGCGTGAGGCGAGGCACTATCTTACATGGCGTCCGCCGGCTTCAAGCCAACGATGGACACAGATAGATCGGATTGCTATGAGGCATCCTTGGAGGATACCCGCTCGTTCTGGAGTACTAGTTTGGACTCGGACACCGCATTATTATGGAGTCGTCTATATCTGCGCCTTACTGGTCGCAGGAAAAAGGCGGTGGTAGAGCCTGTCTATACTCGATTGGAAGACGAGGACGCCAAATACGCATCTAGAGAAGAGGTAGCTAAGCACTTATTTGAACGTGATAGCAATGCTCATTCTGAGGAAACCTGACATGATTTTAAGTTTGCTGTAGAAACAGCGGTGAATACACTTGGTAAACTACATTCACAGGTTAGCAAACGTCATTTGGTTTACACAACCTCACGCGAAATGATTGATGCGAGAAGACTGATTCCGTCGGGCTGTGACCACGATGAAGATTGAAAGCAGCTTAAACTTGACTCGACCAAGAGTCTTCACCACAATCGTTAGCAGTGGTGGGGGTGGGAGTGGTAGTTGCGAGAAAGATGGAGAAACCACCGGCGTTAGGTAGCACTAGTCAACAATTTAGGTTTACTGAGGATACTGGGAAGAAGAAGACGGTGGTAATTGAAACCATCATGAAAAAGAATGGGACGTTGATAACTTCTCGGCTATAACGTTGGGTTGAACACTTCAAAGCACAGTTCAACTGGCCTTCAGCAACGCTTCAGTTGCCCGACATCCACCCTGAACATAAATGGGATCTGGAAGTCGAGAAGGCTGTACCGAAGCTGAAACGACGCAATGCAGCAGAACTAACAGTTTGTCACCTGAAGTTTTCAAGGATTGAGGTAGGAAATTTGCTGACCGAAGTGACCTACGTAGTGTATGTGAATCAGAGGTACTGCCATCAGACCAGTTTACTTCACTGATTATCCCGGTGTACAAGAAGGGAGGGGTTTTCTTGGGACGACCACAGGGGAGTTAGTCCGATTTGTATTGTGTCAAAGGGACCAAGGTATGGCACTAATCGGTGAAGTCTTTGACTGTTGGTCTGAGCTTTGTTTGGAGATGTAAAGTGCCTTGTTAGGGTCTCGGAATCGAAAGGAATCAGTGATTGAGGATTATTAGTGACATGACGGAACACTAGTCACAATGGCGCAGAGGTGTTCACTCTTTGACATCTTTTAAAGTCTGAATATTCGCACTGACCTTTATCTTCGAATTGTTTATCATGTCACATCACTTTATCGTCTTTGGTATCAATCTTTTCAATCCAAAGAGTATTTTGGTCTTAATCTGGAGAAAGATATTGTTTTGATTAACGCACATGAAGTGCGTCGCTTGAATGTTCGTATCGCTTTGAATACAGTCTGAGGAGCTAAACTCCTTTACTGAATCTAATATTTGGAAAAAGAAGGGGCTAAAGATTAGACTTGTGGGTTAGTGGTTTTAAAACGAATGCTAACACGGGTATGCTAGGTGGCGCTCCAAGTACCTTGTAGCTGGAGCTTTCGTCATGGAGCATCGAACTTAGGGGTTTTAATCGACGAATTAGGACCCGACATAGTTGCTGTCATGGAATAATGGTTTGTGAGAAGTATAGATGCTACTCCTCCTCTCTCGGGGTCCTCCTACTTGAAATCTGATAGGTACCAGCTCGTAATGGTGAAGTGACTATAATTGTTACGATGGTTGCGTTATATCACAAAGCGATGGAGGTGTAAACCACTGTTTTTCATGCAAATATTTCCCCGTTACAATCTTTGGACTTGAACTTGCATAGTATCTTCATAAAGTCTAGTAACTCCGAATCGCATAACGATGATACACACAAAGTGGCCAGCAGTAAGAATGAATTATAAGATAGCAAAGTAACTTAGTGTAATCTACTGAATTCAGTTTCGCTTGGCTGACGATTTTATATTAAACCAGATAGGCAAGTGGAATAATGGCTACAGATGCTTGATAATAGTTGGTCGAGATGCACCGCAAATTAACTGGGTATAACTCGGCTTCAGGCAACTATTTTGTCAGTGATCTGCTTTTGTCGTTCCATACATTCTGGTCAGAAGCATCATCAATGTAGTACGTTCTACATAACAGACCGGCATTGCTAGTGCACCAGAGAGGGATTCACTAATTTTCATTAAAAATCATTTCGTACTACTTTTTATGTATTGAAGTTGTGGCTTGGGTTTCCATTCTATCCCCGTAGACAATGTTTGGCACGCCGATATGCCGGTGCTGTTGAGAGTACTTGGAGAAACTTCAAAACTGCATTTGAAAAAGTAACGTCATCATTCATCCCATGATCAACTCAACGTACTCCCCTCCATGAGCAATTTATTTCTAGGAAAAGATCATGCAACTTTAAGAGTACGTGTTGCAAGGTTAGGAACATGTGCAGAATAAAGTAAGAAGTGTATGTAGTACATGATCCCAACTGGAAATGTTATACATACATCTGCAAAACCACAAGAACTAGCCATTAAATCACTAGAAACTCGAGAAGTGAATTTAACAAATTCCCCGTATCGGCCGGGTGAGGTTAAGTGAATAACCGTATTTGAGTCCTCTGTGGCTGTCTAAAAAACACAAAATATGGTCATGACCTGAGTTTTGATAAGCGAAGCTTGTCCGATTTTACGCAGTGTGAAGACATAGAGAGCTGTAACTTTTGGTTTGGGGCGCAGTTTCAGATGACCCACACTGTTCCGTAAACTATGATCGTTATCAAAAGCTGGAAGAAATCAAAGGAAAAGTCAGAATAACTGGGAAACGTGAGGAAAGTTAAGGTAGAATATTACGAAGGTTGATAATGACCTGAGAAAGTGGGTGGTGACAGGGCTGTGACGGTGGCTGACACTTCTCGGCTACCCATACTATGTTATCACTTATCGAAGTACATAAAAAAGTTATGTTGGTGATAGCGGTGCATAAACACAGAATCCAAGGTGCATCCGCTTGAGGTAGGATACACAGCTTTTCGGAAACTTGAGACTTTTTTGGAATCCAGCTATAAAACCCATACAGCCGCCGCCGGAAGATCACAGAGCAGAAATGTGTCTTATTTACAGGGCCGACTTTTCTAACCACTATTCCAATAGGAAAGGCAGCAACAACCCAGTACTGCTAGTCATCCGTGAAAACACCTAACTATAGCTTTACCCCGATTAACCAGTGGTGCGACTTCGCTCTCAGACCTTCACCATAACGTAGCTATCTGTAGTATAACGATAACCGTTTTTTGTCTTCACTCTCCAACAGACATTTTTGGCATGGAAGGATATGAAGGGAACAAATATCTGCCTCAAGATGGCCCACTGGGTCATTCTGATATTTAAACTCGACCATCACACTGATGCAACAACATCTTACCAATAACCATACGGTGGACTGGTCTCCAGGATATTGATTGTTTCTGTAACTATTCTAGATCACTCGAGTCTACATGGTATGAATTTACACCTCCCCCGCAGTGGTAAACGCACCTTAGTACTTTTCCGAGCAAGTGGCAGTAGCCTGTTCGAGAAGCATTTCATGGAGAAACTAGAGTTAGACAAAGAGGTTTAAGAAAAGGATAAATAGGAAATGTTAGGCTTTAAAACCCGTTCATTCAAAAGAATATTTGTTGTTAGATACACTAAGGCTGGTTTCTAAGTTATGAAAACATCTCATCTGACGCAAACAATTTATACACAGCGATTAGGTTCCGCTAAACAAACATCATTTCGTCATATGTTACGAAGTATTCAGTATGTTGCTAGGCTATTCGAGTAAGTGACACAAATTAATACAAAACCAAAGATATAATTATCTCTATGGGCATGTTGAGATGTACTTGAATAGGAACATAGGATACCTAGTAAATGCATCTAATGCGATACCAATTAGAATGTCATTTAAGTGCTAATAGGTTGGAAATCAAACCTCGCCTGGTTAACTAGTTTACTAGTTACTAGCCGGTCCTAAGCCCGGGTAAAGAGGGAAGGTTGGGCATAGGGCTAGCAACCCTACCCCGTAAAACAAATCTAACCGCTAAAGAAACTTCAAAGCACAAACAAAATATAAAAAATGAAAACAAACTTATTCCCCGCTGGAATCGGAGAGGCGAAATGACGCCAGTTGGTGAAAGCCTTCGGGAAGCCAATTGGCCGATGTGTCTTCTCTCGATGAAAGCGAAAGTAAACGTGGGGACATGGAATGTCCGCACGATGTTTGAACCCAGTAAGGCAGCCCAGATTGCAAAGGAGATGAGAAGGTATAACATCGAAGTGCTTGGAATTTGCGAAAGCAGATGGAATGGGAGTGGACTCTCCAAACTGTCAACTGGAGAATCAATAATCTACTCCGGTCACCCAGACGACAACCACGAGCACACTGAGGGAGTGGCTATCATGATGTCCTCAAGAGCATCGAAGGCTCTCATGCAGTGGGAACCAATCTCCTCCAGGATCATGACAGCAAGATTCAACTCAAAAGGAAGAAAGGTCACAATCATACAATGTTATGCACCTACAAATAATGCAGAGCAAGAGAAAAAGGAGGAATTCTACAGACAACTTCAATCAACACTGGACAAGACGTCAGTTGGCGATATCAAAATTCTAATGGGCGACATGAATGCCAAACTGGGAGGGGACAACACGGGAAGAGAACTAACCATGGGTCGAGAGGCGCTAGGTGAAATGAATGAGAATGGAGAATTGTTTGCAGAATTCTGTGCATTCAACGATTTGGTGATTGGAGGCAGTGTGTTCAGGCACAAAGATATCCACAAAGCGACATGGACTTCACCAGATGGACACACTAAAAATCAAATCGACTTTATCTCAATCTCAAGAAAATGGAGACGCAGTCTACTTAACACAAGGTCAAGAAGAGGAGCAGATGTAGGTTCAGACCACTATCTAGTGCAAGGAACCTTCGAAATCAAGTTAAAAGCCTTCAAGGAAGCTGGTGATAGACCTCAATTCAAGTACAACACTCGGAAACTGAAGGATGAAACTACAAAGGAGATCTTCAAGGCAGCCATCAAGACAAAATGGGAGACATCGAGCAACATCCCTGAAGAAACCTGTGTGGAAGAACACTGGAAGTCTTTGAAAGCTATGTGGAAAGAAACCTGCACAACAGTATTAGGAAGGAAGAAGAAAGAAGATAAGGAATGGATCTCGACGGATACCTGGAAGCTGATAGAGGAGAGGAGGATGGTGAAGCAGAAGATAAACCAGTGCAAGGATGCTCAACGACAAGAGGAACTGAGCACAATGTATAAAACACTGGACAAAGAAGTGAAGAAGAGTGCACGCAAAGACAAAAGACACTTCTACGAAACACTGGCAAGTGAAGCAGAACAGGCTGCAGGTAAGAGAGACCTGACGACATTGTATCAAATAACCAGGTTGCTATCAGGGAAGAGACCAACACAGATGAAACCAATAAAAGATGAAGAAGGAAATTTAATTACAAAAGAAGAGAAACAGAGGAAACGATGGGCCGACCACTTCAAGAAGCTCTTGAATCGACCACCACCTGCACTTCGTCCAGAAATACCACCTGCAGCCGCTGAATTACAAGTGAACATAAATCCCCCAACGAAAATGGAAGTCCTGAACGCCATAAAGCTACTGAAATGCGGGAAAGCAGCAGGACCAGATGGAATACCGCCAGAAGCACTGAGAACAGATGCAGAGACAACAGCGGACATGCTCACACCACTATTGCAGAAGGTGTGGAAGGAAGAGAAGGTACCTGACGATTGGAAGAAGGGTTACCTTGTCAAACTGCCGAAGAAGGGAGACCTCAGTGCTTGCAAGAACTGGCGCGGAATCACTCTCCTGTCCACCCCAAGTAAAATATTAAGCCGCATCATCCTGGAGAGGCTTAAAGACGCACTGGATTCAAAACTGCGACCGGAACAGGCAGGCTTCAGGAAGTACAAATCATGTGCAGACCAAATTGCAACGCTTCGTATCATCATAGAACAGAGCGTAGAATGGCAATCAGCTCTATACCTCAACTTCATCGACTTTGAGAAGGCCTTTGACAGCGTCGACCGAGAAGTAATTTGGAAACTGCTTCAATACTACGGAGTACCGCAAACCTTTATCCGCCTCATTCAACAACTATATGAAGATGCCACATGCCAAGTAATCCACAATGGGAAGCTCAGTGATGCCTTTGAAGTGAAGACAGGAGTGAAACAAGGTTGCCTACTATCCCCCATGATATTCCTTATTGTGGTGGACTGGATCATGCAGCAAACAGTAGGCAGCGAGAAGAGGGGGATACACTGGACGACGGAAAAGAACCTAGAAGACTTGGATTTCGCCGATGACTTATGCCTAATGTCACATAAACTTGAAGATCTGCAGGCAAAAACTAACAAGTTGATAGAAGAGGCAGCTAAGACGGGACTTCAGGTGAATATAGAGAAGACAGAAGTGATGAAGATACCGCACCACCACCATCAACAACAAAACTCCAATCACCGTCAACGGGAGAAACTTGAAGGAAGTAACCTCCTTCACTTATCTAGGAAGCACTGTTTCAACTACAGGCGGGACGGACGAGGACGTCAAAGTCAGAATCGGAAAAGCAAGACAGGCGTTCATTAGCCTGAAACCAGTGTGGAGATCTTCTGCACTCAGCATGCGGAACAAGATACGGATTTTCAACACCAACGTCAAGTCAGTGCTCTTGTATGGCTCAGAGACTTGGCGCGTCACGAAAGGCATTTCCAATAAACTACAGACATTCATCAACAACTGCTTACGCTCGCTGCTGAAGATCAGATGGCCAGAAAGAATAAGCAACAAGGAACTCTGGGAACGAACCAACCAAGAACCTATCACGCAACAAATATGCAGGAAGAAGTGGAGATGGATTGGCCATGCACTGAGAAGGCCGACTGAGGACATCACGCGTCAGGCCAGCTCGAGTGGAATCCCCATGGGAAGCGACGAGTTGGACGTCCGAGGGTGACATGGAGGAGGTCGTGCGAGGAGGAAATGAGAGCTTGTGGGCTGTCGTGGGACCAGGTTCAAAAGATCTCAGAGAACAGAGGTCACTGGAGGCGTGCTACTGAAGCCCTATGTTCCACTAGGAACCCAAGGGACTAATAAATAATAATAATAAAAGGTTGGAAATCAGTAGAAACTTTTAAAAAACCCCGCCAAATATATTAAACATACTTAATGGCTGTGATAGATTTCTACTATAACAGCAAAATAGCTATCGTACAAGGAATTTAATGTACTCTGATTTTATAATTATTAGTCAATAATCCCCTCCAAAAATTCATATTTCTGCACCAACTTGACTGTATTCTGTACATGCAATTTGGAAATAGTTTTCTTCCCGTTCTGTACTGTTAGTTCGAAAACACTACCACAGAAATCCTGAATAAACTGCTCACAAAGAAATCCAAGGGCAGCCAAGGCTTCGGCATTTACTAGTGCTACTGATGGTACAGTTTTCACTATAGTCTTAATGCGAGACATCGGAAGCCTGCTAAGCTTTTCTGCAGGGCAGCTTTGGACATCAACCGAACTGATGTTCTCTAGAAACTAGTGTTGACTTAATAAAACACACCTGTATTTAGTTTCTCCTCAACGTCAGTATCCGACATGGTGTTTTGAAAACACCATTAACGGTGTTTTGAAAAGTCGTCGTGGCCTACAAAAATCGTATAGTGGAATGTTAAAACAACTTGCCAATTTAGAAAACATCTCAGTTGAAATGGCCTGACAGCCTTAGGAAGTTCCTGGTTAGGCCAAAAATAAGAACCTGGTACGTGCACCTGAATATACAAAGCGTGTGCGCAGAACAATGAAGGTCAGAGGATGCAACAGCTAGTCTCAACACCCAATATTAAAAGTGAGACTAGAGGAAACCTATGGTTTCCGATTTCCCGCATTTAGATCTCGAGGCATGGTGGCCGCAGAATCCTGTCAGTTCATCTACTTGTGTCTTAAGAGACATTATTCGGCTGGTTTTCTATCACAGTTTGTAAGCTGGTTTGTTTGGGAGAGCGGGGGGACTGCTAATAGGACCGGTGAACCTTTTAACGTCCTGCTAGTAAACTTTCCTGCAATTTGTAGTTAAGCTGCCGTTTGAAAGACTGAGTGGGCAAATAAAAGTAGAAGAGTAAAAGTCCTGACAGAGTAATTGTGTCAGCTGTAATAATACGGGACGACTAACGTCAGTATTGTAGATGCTACGGTATGACAGCAGAGGGGTGGGTTAGCAACTGTTCAATTGTTACCGGCGCTTGTAGTTGGTAGTCCACATACTCCTAAGTACTTGTCTAGCATTGGCTTGGTTGCGTCAACTGAGGAGACTGTGGCCAATCCTTTTGACAGAGCATTCCATAACGCACGTGCTCTATGAGAGAGGAAGTTAGATCCAACTCTTATTCCAACCCTCAAGTGTGGTGTATCATTTGCGTCTCCAAGAGACTGTCAGCCTCAGGTCAACACTGTTATCCTGCTGGGAAAGGTTCACTTGATGTAAAATCTCTTAAGCCCTTATCATGTCGTCTCTGTTCTGGTGGCTCAGAGTGAACAGGTAGGATTGTCCTTGGCTTTGAATGAGGGTTTCATCTGTTCCCATGAAAACACACCCTGTCGTTCTTCTTAACGCAATGTCAAGTGTTCGCTTCTGTTTTCAGTAGGGACGGAACTTTCGTACTTAATATCTCCTGGCATGGTCGGCTGTAGGTTTCCATGGCATTGAGGAATAATTCAGTGACAAATGCTTTCTCAGAAAGTGCCCAGTGGCAGTTGTTTGGCTGTCACCCTTCGTTAGCTGATACCGGTATCTAGTGTGTCATATCTTATGGTCCTTTTCTTAACTTATTTTCCTCGATGTTTTGACGTCATCTACAAACAGAGAGTTAGGAGATAGTTCGTGGGCAGTAAAAACTGGAGTGAACCAAATACCAATCCTAATGATGCTCGTTTCTCCCAAATCCTCAAAGTTTAACGGAACCTGCTTATTTTAGCGCAGAACTTTATCCCCTAAGTATGCTGTGAACAGAGTCAGCGATGCCTGCTTTCGCAAGTTTAGTCAGCTTGGTGTTATATAGGACGCCGCTGAAAGCTTTTTCTGAGTCCACACGAGTGACATGAACTGCTTACTTGTCTCATCATGTCAGGGGTCCAGGAAGTCTGTGTCACACGACAGAGCAGTTATGAAGCTATGTGTGTCGGGGTAAGCGACGTTGTTTTTGCTTCAGTGGTCCTAGGCGACATCTGCTACCTGGATTTATAGCGCATCTGATGACATGGGATGCAACGAATCTAATGCACTGGATCTTTGAGCTAGTGCAGTTATTGGTTCTAACAACATTTCGTCACTCAAGATCGTAACGTGGGCTGCGCATTTTTGCTTAATCTCACATTTAAGACATTAAAGGATGAAGCTGAGATGATGTAGCCCTTGGGGCATTCCTTGATTTTTTATGCTCGAATCTGGAATGCTGCCTTCCAATATCGTTAAGCTTGGATTTTACTGTGCCATTTAACCTTGACTCAAATGAGTGTAGAAGACACTCGTGAACTCATTTTTAGCCACAGGATTGCAAGTTCATGCAGTTTGCTGGGAGTATTGTATGGGTGGGTTCAGTCACTTTGTTTCATCGTAATGGGGCGTTGTATGGAGGGGACTTGTACTGACTAATAACATCCCTCCGTGAACTTGGGTAATAGGTGCTTCTCCTGCATCAGGTGTACTACGGAGACCCTGATAAGTTGTACTCTGGGGGTACACGAATTACGGTAACTCGTTTTCATTCTTGAATGTACGATGGCCGGAGAAGCATTCCCCAACGGAGATCTAGCCAGTTTCATGTTACTAGAAGGTGGGTTGTAGATGGAAAAAATGTGATGTCCATAGTTCGCAACCCTAAATGGTCTAGGGAACTACATTAGGGCAAATCCATCGAGAAGCATGCAGTGAATATACGAATCTCCAGAGTTCCAAAACCCAAAGCGAAGCCAACCAAATCCAAAACACTTGGTTGCCAAACAACGAATGTACATTCGAGCAGTAAGTGAACCTAGTGAAAATTGTTCTTTACAGCAAAATATATGCACAACATTTAGTTGCAAACCTCCGGTTTTAACGGCTACTGCAGTTTCCGGCCAAAATGAAATGCAATGATGACATCAATCGAAGCAAGATGTTCAGTATGTTTGTACAAGCAAATTGAGAGAATTCAAATAAAATGAATGGTCGATGTTTTTCAGTACATTGCAAGAACAGAATCAAAACCCACGTAACACAATGTACATTTCCCTATTTTATGAGTATACGTTATGGGTTGTCGAGTATATTTTGGTTACGAATTTTTTCAGTTCCAAACGCTGTCCCATTTCTCATTCGGTCTGTCATTAGGTCAACTTTTCGTGTTTGACGACCACCCATCCCACCATTCTCTTCTAAACCTTGATGTCTCCCAGTTGTAGCACCAATGCAGGTTCAAGAATCTTCGAAATGTGCTGCAAGCAGTAGGAGGACGAGTACTGATCCTTGCTGGGCATCGCAGCTAAAATAGTTTTGATCCGAGAGGAAGCCATCGTTCTTCACCATAAAGTAGTGCCACTTGGGGTAGAAACCGAACCATGCTAGGAGCTTTCTGTGACTACCGGGGACTCTCAGTTCAGAAAGTATGCAATAATGATTATCCATATCAGATGCCCTTTATATGCACAGACACTGTCTCCACTTTGTTTTTGATGCCAGCTGTAGGTCTCCATCAGTCTGGCCTCATAAGCAAGTTCACACTACAGAAGTTTTTGATATCAAGCCATGACGTCCAACTAAAAAAACCATATTTCTACAAGAAAGTAACGTAAGTTATCATATAACAGTGCTCATAGCGATTCAGAAAAGACAGATAGGACAGTTTCAGTTGATATTATTGACACTGGTGCCCTCCTTCAGGTTTTTCATGATTAAGAGGGGTGGCTAGGGAGTACCGACATGCTGAAATGCAAACTGAGAGGCGACTTCATAATACCCGCAGCTAGTCCCAGTACTTTAGGGTGGATGTCATCCACATTGGGACAAACATCTGTTTCTGAGGTTACTGCAGGTGTCATTTTCAAGTCACTCAACCTCTACGTGTTAACATTAGGCATTCATGCACTTACCTGTACTTTTTCCTTACAATATGACCTAGAACGCTCGTGGACAGTTAGCTTGCCAGTAGACGGTCATATCTTTTGGGCGGTTTAGCGATATAACCAAAGAGTAGCAAGTTCTTTCGAAAATTCAAAGTCTGCCGAGATGAAACCGACCTTACATCAATGGATCGTACAATACACTTGTACCGGGGCACGTTTTCATCTTTTTTGACCGGGAACTGGGGCTAGATTCACAGGTTTTGAGCTCTTCCTAAGCTGCAGGTGTTATTAGGTAGCCGTTTACGCTCGATAAATTTAGACAACTGGTTGCTTAACTCCTGTGGTTCACGGGATTTAAGACTGAGTGCGAGCACCAGTAGTTTAATACTTTTCATAAGTACGCCTGATAGGCATGCACAGGAAGTCCTGACACTAATTTCTTAAGATGGTCTCCACACTGAGGTTTCCGAGTAGTACAGGAGTAGTGTGCATTCACAAGTGAAAGCATTCTGCTGAACTTTATTACCACCCTGGGGGTGACGGTTGAGAATGTAGCTGAAGGAGGTTAATGCAAACCAAATGTAGTTTTCCATTTGCCAATTCGAAGAGGATTTGTAATGGAAATGTCACTCTCTTCCCCCAGGAACCTTATTAATATTTTCCAATTTCCATTGCTGATGCAAAAAGGTTACCAGTGTTGGACTACGATGAGTTGATCGAAAAACAATTCTCAGTGTCAGCCGAAAAAAGTATAACAGTGTGCATGATTATAACCCTCATATATTTTGGGGAAGCGCTACTGAATCCATCCCTGGGGCTAGGACAGCAAAAGAAACACTATAGATCACACACACCGACTACCCGTTGGGGGGATTCCAGTGTGGAGCCTGGCAACGTCATGGAAACTGTACATGGGTGCTGATGAGCCGTCTCCAATTTCCTTGATCTGGTGAAAGAGGACGCCCACCTGTTATTTCTGACTGATTTGTATAGGGTGTCAAGTGCGTCACAGTTGTCGCAGCTCGCCCAATTGCGTCCGCTTCGAAATAAGGTTCTAAGCCTTCCACCTTGTTATCAGAGCTCTGAGATTTGTTCTGACGGAACAAAGTGCATCAGGCACTGATCAGCATTCGAAGTAATCAACGCAGGTTTGTAAATGTCTTCAGAGAAACGAACGGTTCCCTTTCTGAATGATAAATTCCCTTTTCTATGTTACCGCCAACGATAAATTGGTAAAAAATCTAGGAGTGACCAGCAGATCGATCTATCAGTTACTAAATTCCCTAAATTATCTACCAGGATATACGATGATGCCCCTAAACAAAAGCTATCTCGTCTCACAGGCCACCAGGTTGATTGACGTTTCCTTTGTAGATGAGGGGACTGGCGTCAAAAGGGTTGGCTTCACTAGTTGTCCAACCCACCAAATGTAGTAAAGACTGAGTCGATGCGGCAAACCCTTGAAATAGTCGTTACAAACTGTTATCGAAGAATGACGCTTGCGTTGCCCATGTCATCGAATCTGAGATCCCGCTTGGCATCATGCCTTGCCGTCTCCTGACTTTTTTATGTTCGAAGTTTTGAACATCATTATTAATCCTCTGTGTTGTACTTCCGTGGAGTGCACAGTTAGTTAGCGGCAAATAATTTCACAAGATTAATAGCCCGGGGTTAGACAATCTT